TCCCTACAAGAGTGCCTTAGGGATTACAGTAGTAGATGCTACAGTGATCAAAATCGCGAATTTGTCCGAGAGTGGGTTTAATCTACATGCGGATTACAAAAATCTTTTACGTATCGCATAGTAAGCCCTTATTGTTAAATTAGGATGAGTATACAATGCAAAGGTCAAAATCACTGATATATACCGGAAAAGGAAAATTTATCGTGCGAGATGGCTTTACCACCGGGAATATATAGATTTTTGTAATCAGCAAGTCAATACACCATTATCAGCAAATGAATTTGGATCTGCATCGCATATCTGCCGTAGTCCTAGAGTAAAGTACTATCAGAAAATGGCTGTAAATTTCGTAATTAGCAAGCCACTAACCCAGAATAACAGCGTCGTTGTACCCAAGGTCTCACCATCCATAAAAATTAAGCTATTGTTCGAACTTTCCTCTGGTCTAACTTTAAAATCATTCCTAATTCATCAAATCAGTCGTTGAACAACCCAGCATATTTTCCGTAGAGGGAGACCTCTACATTTCTACTGTCGAATGATATACAATGTATGCCAAAAACTTCGAAATTCTTAGACCATTTGGAAAGAAAGCACACTTAACCGACATCCCAATAGTCAAAGATAAGTTGACAAGTCGCTTATGTATTTGTTAAGTTTTTTATAATACTCTGGTTAAACTTCTACTCTAGCTCAACGAGCTTTTGTGGTTCGGAACTTGCAAAAAATAATCATATCTCCAGTAAAACGATTTGATGTGCCCATTTTCTCTGAGCAAAACAATGTAGGTTGTGCCTTCCGTCAAGGCTTGGCAGTAGGTAATTGGAGGGCAAGAAATCGTTTTTGGAGAGAAAAGCAGAAGGAAAATCGTACGGGGTCCGAGAATTCCAGGAACATAGATTTCTCTTCCGTTCGTCTTTTCCAAAAAACACAATCTGACTGTCTGCGATAACTTTACCACATAGATACCATGACCGCAGTTCTGCTCCAAGCTGGAAACGCTGCGCAGTAATTTCAAATAAATAACGTTACTTGAACTCTGAGCGAAGAGCCTATCAACATCCTCCATTTTGAAGAGAAACTGGGTAACAAGGAGCTTAAGGATGCTTGCAGAATCTCTACAAACTTATGAGAAAAACATTTCGCCATTTCTGATTTAGTTCGGCGGAGACCTACGAGAGATCACAGGTGGCCGATTAGCAAAC